TTTTTTTTTCTGTATTTTATTTTATTTTGTAATACATTTCCTTAAATGTAGCATTATATATATGTAATAATGGCAAAGAAAAAGAAAATCTTTGTTTTTAGTACCTTTTATACTATACTGAAAGAAAAACCAAGGACGTTAGACTACACCCTAAACCACAAGTTACTACATATCAGACTTAGGTAATACGTCCAGAGGAGTTAGTGCTAATCAATACACTAACAGTTTCCATTCACGTGTTTAATTTTGTCTCTTCTTTTTTTTCTTGGTTTTTCAACATGATCATAACAGAACGGTCAAAAATATAGTGGATATAAATCATATTTACAAGAAAATGAAAAAAGATTCTCTTGACTGAATATTAACCAAAATACTGGAAGATATTTCATTTACATTGCCCTTGGCTAAAAAAAGAAGAAAAAAAAAGAAAAAAAAACAAAATAAAGGCATATCACAATTATATAGATCAAAATCAAGTACTACAGAAGATTATGAAAGTTTTGTTACTTGCGGCAAATTTACATTAAACTCGTACATGTGCCACTTAACCTTGACTAATCATAAACTTCTACAATAACTTGTGAAAACAAAAAAGAAGCAGTGATTAAACTAATGACTATGATGCACTGGTTTCCCAGCCCATCGGATACAGGATCTTCATGAATTACATTGCCCATTATATAAAGACAAATTCTGAAACAAAACCTGCCAAAAATTCAAACCTTTGGCATACATCAAGGGAAGAAAAGCACAAACTCCCTTGTAAGGCATGATCCCAGGTGCAATTTGAAGGAATATGCAGAACGACTTGGTGGAAGTTCTTATCTGTTGTGCAACATCCCATCAAACAGTACACAAGATGCCTCTGGGTAAAGCAGTGCAATAAATGCATTTTTTCACTTCACACAGAAAAATTAGAAACCGTCCTTAGTAATGTTACTAGTAATTCTGAACCCTGCATGACAGTGCATCCTTTACAATTTCATATTCTCTGGCCACTTGTTTTGCCTACATGGCTCAAAACCACTAATATCATGACATCATCTCTGCTTCTAGGGTTTTGTATCCATAAAGGTTACAACAGCCATCCAGTCATTCAATGGTCGTCCAGTTAAGTTCTCTAGTAAATCCAGGAACACGTCTCAGCACACTCCACCATAGACACTCTCATCACTATAGGCTATATACAGGAAAAAGTCATCCTCATGATGTTCCTGAAATATAAAAAGTCATCATTAACTGCAATTGTATAAACTGGTTTATTATTAGTGAAGTTAATAATGATGACCTATGACCAAAATAAATGTATTGTTTATACTACTTATGGCCAGGTAAAATGTAGCCATAATGAGGGGGAATGGGTTAGTCAAACCATATAAAGGAAAGTTTGAAAAATCTTGCTAGAATATACATATTTTGAGACGAACCTTTGCCACATTTTTACCTCTTTATAACAATGTTATATAATTTTTGATGAATTCTAGTTACAACTACATGACTAATATAATCTTTAATGACTGAAATGAATCATTAATTGCATATGCTGTTCAGCTGGTAGTCTTGGTCTTGTTACAAAATTATCAATCGTTGAAAGAAAAGGGGGAGAACAATGAAAAGAAAGTAGATAAATAAATGGTAGGCATCTGTCTGGCTTACTCTATGAACAGTTCCAATTTGCAAACATATCTCCTTTCAGTACAAGTCTTTTCAGTGTTAATATCCTGCTACTAATTATCCCAGAGCCCGAAGGAAAACGTAGTGTTCATTGTCGTACTTTGTGAAATGTCTCTACACATTCAGTTCTCATGGAAAACATAGGTAGGGTGATGTCAACACCAGTGAAACAGATAATAATAGTCTATAAAAGCCATTTTATTTATTTTTTTCATCTTTAATACCCACCCCAATGCCTCTTCACTTCATAATAAGGTCTCTAGTAGGGATTGGGCCAGTGCCCATAACTCTCTGATGGTTGCTTCATGCATGTGAATGGAGCTGGAGATCTTGCTTTGTAATCATGCTGAATTTTGTGCCACATGTTTTCTATAGGATTAACATCTGGGATGTTCCTAGGCCAGTCTTTGATGTACTTAACCCCACAATTAACCTAAAGCTGCCAGAGATGGCATGTGCATACATGCCATGCCCACTGTGAGTTTCCTTTAATGTTCTTACACAAATAGCTCCAGGAGTACTAAGTCACTAATGAGCCAATTACTGTCTCAACTGTTTCTCTTTTTCCTTGATTTTTGAAAATATTTTCTGGTATCTAATATTGTAGTTAGTAATGTGAATAATACTATGATGATTACAATGTCTACAACTGTGTCAATATTAATAGAAATAGGGGAAAAAAAAAAAAAAAAAAAAAAAAAAAAAAAAAAAAAAAAAAGTATAATATATATATATATATATATATATATATATATATATATATATATATATATATATATATATATCTTGTAATAATTCTTTTTTCTATGAATAGTATTGAAACATT